GAGCTGCACTGATGCCATGTGAAGATGCTGAGGAGTCATCAAAGTCATTCAGCTATACCAAAAAGGTCACCAACTCAAAGATACAAGAATTTTGACTAAAATGTATAAATAAAGCTACTAATGAACTTAAAAAGTGTTTTATCGAATTTAATATGTAAATTAAGACAAATATCTATATTTCATAAAATAGTGGTAAATATGGAATATTTAGAGCAGTTGTACTTTTTTTTTGCAAACCCTTTTGTGAAATTCATTTTTTTTTAAAACAATATTTGAATCAAAAAATACTATCAGGAAATATAAATAGTTTAACATTTGAAATTCTTTGGGCAGAAACTGCATTTGTATTTTTTTATTTTTATTGATCATTTATTTCGAACACTTAATAAAAAGCAAATATAAGTAAATTAATAAAGTCATACAAAACAAAACAAAAAAGAAAAAAAAGAAAAAAACATATGTACATCCCATCATGTTCGAAAAGGAGTAGGAAGAAGTAATAAAACTTATTAAATCCTACCCCTGTTCTATATTAACATCTACCTATGTTTAAGCATACATACATATCTACACTATATTGCCAAAAGTATTTGCTCACCTGCCTTGACTCACATATGAGCTTAAGTGACATCCCGTTCCTAATCCATAGGGTTCAATATGACGTCGGTCCACCCTTTGCAGCTAGAACAGCTTCAACTCTTCTGGGAAGGCTGTCCACAAGGTTTAGGAGTGTGTTTATGGGAATTTTTGACCATTCTTCCAGAAGCGCATTTGTGAGGTCGCACACTGATGTTGGACGAGAAGGCCTGGCTCTCAGTCTCCGCTCTAATTCATCCCAAAGGTGTTCTATCGGGTTGAGGTCAGGACTCTGTGCAGGCCAGTCAAGTTCATCCACACCAGACTCTGTCATCCATGTCTTTATGGACCTTGCTTTGTGCACTGGTGCACAGTCATGTTGGAAGAGGAAGGGGCCAGCTCCAAACTGTTCCCACAAAGTTGGGAGCATGGAATTGTCCAAAATGTCTTGGTATGCTGAAGCATTCAGAGTTCCTTTCACTGGAACTAAGGGGCCAAGCCCAGCTCCTGAAAAACAACCTCACACCATAATCCCCCCTCCACCAAACTTTACACTTGGCACAATGCAGTCAGACAAGTACCGTTCTCCTGGCAACCGCCAAACCCAGACCCGTCCATCAGATTGCCAGATGGAGAAGCGCGATTCGTCACTCCAGAGAACGCGTCTCCACTGCTCTAGAGTCCAGTGGCGGCGTGCTTTACACCACCGCATCCGACGCTTTGCATTGCACTTGGTGATGTATGGCTTGGATGCAGCTGCTCGACCATGGAAACCCATTCCATGAAGCTCTCTGCGCACTGTTCTTGAGCTAATCTGAAGGCCACATGAAGTTTGGAGGTCTGTAGTGATTGACTCTGCAGAAAGTTGGCGACCTCTTCGCACTATGCGCGTCAGCATCCGCTGACCCCGCTCCGTCAGTTTACGTGGCCTACCACTTCGTGGCTGAGTTGCTGTCGTTCCCAAACACTTCCATTTTCTTATAATACAGCTGACAGTTGACTGTGGAATATTTAGGAGCGAGGAAATTTCACGACTGGATTTGTTGCACAGGTGGCATCCTATCACAGTTCCACGCTGGAATTCACTGAGCTCCTGAGAGCGACCCATTCTTTCACAAATGTTTGTAAAAACAGTCTGCATGCCTAGGTGCTTGAATTTATACACCTGTGGCCATGGAAGTGATTGGAACACCTGATTCCAATAATTTGGATGGGTGAGCAAATACTTTTGGCAATATAGTGTATATATACACACACACATACATATATACATATATATATGCATACACATACTCATAGATACCTATACATACATATACACACATGCATACTTACACATACACCCGTATCTCAAACACATACACACATACATGCATATACATACACACCCCAATTACTATAGACAGTATACACATATCTCTATCTACATATACGTACACATATATCCATACATATCCATAAACCAAAAACCCTTTTCTCTCACACTTTTTTTTAAAATTATTATTTCATCTCTCTTGACTTCTTATCGATTTTAATTCATAGTGGCAGAGCAAGTTCTATTCCCCCTCAAGCCCCTCCTCCCTGTATCTTGTAAAAATCATTTGTTTATATTTGTTTTTAAACTGGTTGATGTTTGGACATTGCTTCAAATCCATGCTCAGTCTGTTCCATAGCCTCACTCCACTATTTGTTATACAAAATCTTTTCCTTGCAGTTCTGTATCTTTGAATCTTAAAATTAGTTATCTCCCTTAAATCATATCCCCACTCTCTTTGAATGCAGATATTGCATAAGTTTTATGAATGCAGAAAAAAGACCTTCCATTTGATTTAATTGAGATTTTTTTTGGCCTGAAACTGTTATTAACAGCTGCAATAAATAAAATGAGAAATTAAAAACATTGTTTTTTTTCTTGTCCTCTTTTTCCATTATACTGTAGTTCTGGTAATTGATGTCCCAGAGTTAGATGATAGTCCAATAGATTCTCTTTCACAAGCAGACCTGCTTGGTTCATATAGCCTATAGGAGAGTTTATTGAAAATGATTTAAGAATTAAAATCTCATACAACAGAGACAGAAAGGGAGAGGGGATAAGAATTCAGTTTATTTATAGCGCCAGTTCACAACACGTCATCGCAAGACACTTTACAGTTTACCAGATCATACAGTCAAATTGATACAAGGTTTTCTAACAAAGGAAAACCATTTGATTGCATCGACTCATTGACTCGAGTGCAATCCCTCACACTAAACATGCTTGTAGCAACAGTGGAGAGGAAAAACTCCCTTTTAACAAGAAGAAACCACCAGCAGAACCAGGCTCAAAGTGAGCGGCCATCTGCTTAAGCCGACTGGGGTTCAAGGAGACAGAAGCAGACATACAAAAAGCAGCTGCAAAAGGCAGCACCGTCCAGGAAACACACAGCCAGGCAGATGAGCTCCGAGCCAGCTCCCAACAATCTCCAACATCTATAATCAAAGATGTTGATGGAAGCAACACAGCTAATATTTCTCTCCAGGATGGCGTCACAGCCAAACACGAACAGACGAGGCAAAGCTACTGTGAGAAAAAGCAGAGAAATCATGACATTAGAGATTGAACTAACAGATTCTGCAGAGTAGGAAAATAGAGATAGAATGAAGCAGAATGATGAAATAGGGGTCCCTATGTCCTCCAGCAGTCTAAGCCTATAGCAGCATAACTATAGAGATAGCTCAGAATTAAGAGGAAAGAGAAAAGAGAAACAAAACGGCAAAATAAACTACATAGAAGTTATACAGTAAGCATTGAGTTAAAAAAAAAAAAAAAAAAGGAGGGGGCAACTGTAACACATAGCTAGTAGCTGTAGCTCTTAGCCAAAGATGCTAAAATAGAACAACGTTGTTAAACTATCAGTGTTTGTTTCAGATAGATAATGACATGTGCTCTCATTTACAAACTAAATATTTTGTTGGTGTTTTTGATGCGGTTGGCCAGTTCAATTGGTAAGTCACCTGTCCTGCAAACAGGACACCTGGGTTTGTATCCCAGCTGGGGGAAATGAGCTGCCAGTGTGGGTCCTTGGCCAAGACCCTTCATACTAATGCCTGTTTGAGGAGTGGCGGCCCAGTGGTTAGGGTGTTGCACTTGGAATCCTGAAGTTCTGAGTTCAAGTCCCTGAGTAAGTCCCCCCTGGGTTAAGGGTCCTTCACTATGGGTCCTCCCTGGGTGCACAATGGCAGACCACTGCTTCCCAAGGTGATTGGTTAAATGCAGAGAGTTAATTTCTTTGCTCTTACAGTGTAATGACAATAAAATGCTGGATATGAACAAGAACTAGTGTGAAGATGTGATACAGGGTGTTAAAATGTTTTAAAACTAAAATCGGAAGAGTATGGCCGGCTTTTGGACTGGCTCTGATGTTTATATATAAAAATGTGCAAACAAACTTTTTGAGAACATAGTTTTGTAATTCTATCTTTATTCTCAACTTGTTTGTTAAAGCAGTGTTTTGTTAAAACTCATTAGTGAAAACCAGGGAAGACAAGAGAAAGCTAGAAGCATTAGAGTATAAAACAATATCCTAAAATTTCATAAAGCCCTGTTGAATACATGGACCCACAACTGGACTCAAGAACAGCTATATTAACCTATAGTTATACTTTAAATAGAGAAGAAAGAAAAATGACCCTTGATCATTGGAGGAGCTGTAGAGGTCCACGATTTAGAAAAAAAAAACCTTTCTTAACACCTCAGCTTTTTATGGAATAAGTTTAAAGGAAGCAATTTTTTATATAAGCTTGCATTATTCATTCTTTAGTTCACAAATTCTCAGGAGTCACATCCAACATGTCTGTTCAGACGAGACCAATTCTGAACTTTTTGGCCTGTTTTCAGAAATCTTTAATGGCTTTAAACATACCTCCATAGTTAAACACGGTAGAGGCAGCGTCATGCTGTGGGGATGCTTTCTGATCAGTAGGGACAATGAACTAAAAAACAGGACAGAGATTCCTCTTTCAGTGCAGCAAGGGCCCTGAACTTATAATCACAGCTCAAATGGGATTATAAAAGCATTTAAGTTAGCCCCTAAAAACAACCTTATCAACATAAAATATGGAGAATTATATCTAAAACAACAAAAATTGAGCATTTGATTCGGTTTGGTTACCTTTAAATTGTCTCCATACAGAAATTAAATCCAAAAGACAAACAGATTGCAGCAACTTTGAGACAATCAATCAGATTTCAATAAGGCTTTATAAAAATGCGCATAGTTTTATCAGAATGAGAAAAAAAAAAAAAAAAAAAACGCACAACCAAACAGGGAGAAAGACCACCCACACAGTTCCTATGATGCAGAATTAGCATATCTGGGCTCTGTTTGTGCATGGTTATGCATTAACAGCTCCATATTTGACACGCTCTCTCTCAGTAGCCGTCCGCTCCGGCTGGGAAACACGCTGAAGTGGCCGCCTCAGGGATTAACAGCAGCAAGGGATGCGGAGCGTTATAAGGACCATGATACCTGTAGAGCACTTCTGAGCAGAGCCCGGCTTGGTAATGAATGTTGCACAGCTTTTTTTTTTTTTTTTATGTAGTTCTTTTGCATATCTTCTCTTGTTTCCTAGAATAAAAGGACTTGTGGTTTGGAGAGAAAGAACTCCTGCTCAGCTAGACGTACAAAAGCTGGCCGAGTCTTTTCCCTGAGATATATTTTTGAGGATCTCTCTCCATCCTCAGTGGGTCATGTCACTGGAACTGCTTTTATGTTCGAAGTAAAGGCTTATCTCTCTCTGTGCCCTCCTCCCGGCGCCTGTCATCGATGTGGCATGCAGCTTAAAAACCCTCTGTCAGCTACTGAAGAGCTCATTCTGGCTCTCAGCTGTGGATGAAGTAAGGACACGCTGGCCTGAATGGAGAGATGAGGCAAACACTTTGGAAGGTTTGAATTAGTCTATTGGTGGCACTGGAGCAGGAGCCCACTCCACTAAGAGGGATTCCTGCTAACATGGAGATTTTCATCCATGAAGAGGAAGAGTTGGATGGATTTTGAAAAGCAGACCTCTATGGTATTGTTCTGAGGACGGGGCTTTTTCCAGGAGGAGAAGCTGATTCCCTGATCACTGCCAGCCAACACCATGACCGACTCTCACATGTCCAGCTCTGTGGGCAGCTTCAACGGCAGCGCTCCTGCTGCCACCGACTGGAACATCACAGGCAGCGGCCCATGGCTGCTGGCCTTCATGCTGACAGCCATCATCCTTATGACCATCTGTGGCAACATCCTGCTCATCGCTTTGGTGTTTGCCCATCGCTCTTTGCGTTGCACCTCCAACTGCTTCCTGGTGTCTTTGTTCTTCTCCGACCTGATGGTGGCCTTGGTGGTCATGCCTCCGGCCATGCTCAACGTGCTGTGTGGCTCCTGGGTGTTGTGGCCTGCTTTTTGCCCGGTTTGGCTATGCTTTGATGTCATGTGCTGCAGCGCGTCCATCCTAAACCTGTGCGTGATCAGCCTGGACCGTTATATCTTCATTATTTCACCGCTGCGCTACAAGCAGAGGATGACTCCACCACGGGCCCTGCTTCTGGTTGGAGCTGCTTGGGGTCTGGCAGTACTGGCCTCCTTTTTACCCATTGAGATGAACTGGCACAGTTTAGGCCACGGGAATGAAGACCCCCCAATTCCTCAAGTCAGTCTTGGTAACATCAGTTCTTTCTATGAAAAACTGTACCCAGAGTCCTACTTTCAGCTCTCACCATCAGGAGGTGCGTCGTTTCAGTGCCGCCTGCAGGTGACCCTGCCCTTTGCCCTGGTGGCATCCGTGCTTACCTTCTTTCTGCCCTCCAGCGCCATTTGCTTCACCTATTGCCGCATCCTTCTGGCCGCACGCAGACAAGCAAAGAGAGTTGCAGCACTGAGCCACCCACCACACCCTCATCCATCCCTTGGAGAACCTTCCCGGCCTCCTTCCTCCAGAGTTGAAGCAAGGTCAGCTCAGCAGGATGGATATAAATTCAATCACGGACCTCCCATGTGTCAAAATGTACTGGTAAGAAAACATTCTATAGAATTAAATTAAGCTTTTAGGCAAAAATCTATCTCAAAATGTATCTTTTGCTTGTTAAAAATGAACAGAGATGCATAACTGTCGACCTGACCTATTATAAAATAAACATACTAGGAGATGATCTACTGAAGTGAAAGAAAAATCCTGCATTGTAAAATGATCTCCCGGTAAGATTTTTACACCTAAAATCATCCTGATTTTCTTAATTAAAGTTCAGTATAAACAATCCTTTTAATTCAGGGACAATAATACTAATTCCATCGACAGATAATTGTCCTTACCACTAACATACTGTTATTTCAAGACATGAACATTTCAGAATAGTCTTAACAGTGAAGTAATCACGTGGTTGCATCACAACCTTGAACATAAAAAAAAAATTGTTGAGATATTTTTCTTTCTTTCCACAATAGTTAAAGGGAAAATGCGTACAGCGTTACCTAGAGACTATAATTAAAACACCATTGGCCGCGTTTTGCTTTGGAACGCTGTCATAAAAGTAGTAGATGTAGATTCATAGTATAAGAGTGAGATTGGTTTTTCTACCAACTGGCTTTGAAGGACAGGGGTGGTAAAGAAATTATTTTCTTTTTGTTAGTTTTAAGAAAATCCTTCAACACTTTTTATGTAGCTGGAGAGAAAGGATGTGTTATGTTGAATAACCTGTCCCTGTAATTTCATGTCACTTCCTAAATATTAACTTTAAACAGCCTCCAAAAAAATCCTCTATATTGTTTCATTTTAATTAGACCCAAATTAAATGTTAAAACTGTGACTCTTAGGACATGGTTCAAGAAATAAACCCCTGAAAAGCAGGATTAAAACTGAGCAGGTGTTAGATTTACATAAACGTATATATGTATATACATAAATGTATATAAATGTATATGGCCACAACAGATGCTCGCCTAAAGGTCCCTTCAAATGTCTTTGCCAGACCATAGATGTGGCTATGATAGTTTTTTTCATGTGAAAATTAAAAGAAAACTGAATGAATTTTCATTGTTAAATGACTGTTGTTTAAATGTCTTGTTAAAACATAGACAGTTTCTGTTATACTGATCATCTATTTTTTCTAATCAAGAAATCCAAAAGCCTTCAAAATAATTGATCACCATAGTTCTAACTTGTAATATGCATTTCACTTGGATGTGAACCTTAATTTGAATAACTTAAATCACTATATGTTTAACTATAAATGGTGATTAGACTGAACTTATATTGTGCTGTTTCTAATGCTACTGACCCATCAGAGCTTCTAACTAGCCTCGTTCAACCATCTATACTCACTGCCAAGTATGCATATTCATGCACTATTTTTACTACTGGTACTAATGTATTTTAAAGTACCCGAAGAAGGCTTCTAATTGGTTGATAAGGCCTTAGTGACGTCTGCTTCCAAAGATATTTTGGAAGCCTGTAAGCTGCAACGTCTGGACACTGAGTAATCGTCAGAAACAATGCCGAAGCCTTATCTGAGCAGATCAGATAGGGATCTGATTAATCTGTCAGATTTGCGTGCAAATATATATATTTATTTTGAGACTGTTATACCTGCTGTGGTTAAACCTTTGCAAGATTCAATATTTTCAGCATTGCTAAGTAGTTTTCTTAAATCTTTACCAATTTGTATTCAAAGCGGAGAGCCAAAAGACAGTCCCAAAAGAGACCAGTATGCCTGTTTGTCTCAGTCAAACCTGTGGCAGACAGAAACACTGTTTTAGAGACCTAAACCTCCAATCATCAGAGAAGAGAAGCAAGTTGGAAACACAATTAATCAGACATCTGACCCAGTAAGGCTCAGCATGGTAGTGGTCCAGGTGACGATGCCTGAACCATTGAAGCTGGTTCTGAAGGTTGATCTTCAGCCCCCAATTAAATATTAAAACTTAACCATTTTCTTGGGATTCCTGGGTGATCTACTCCTGATAAATGATAGATATTTAATTATTTTCTTTATTGTTTGCATGTTTTGTTTCTCAAAAGTGAGGGATATTCACTGAATTTTAGCTCAAAATGATTCTTCTTCTGATCCTCAGATGTTCATATAAAAGTAGGTTTAATATGAACCTTAAAACCTAAGATATATCAAGACATTTTTCCACAGCTTGATTAAACTAAAAACTAATGGCTCATTGGAAAGTTTATAAATGAAAGCTTCTGACTAATTTCAGTTGATTCTAGCTGGTTTGTTACCGCTAATATAAGCTAATGTAGCTAAATTGTCTTTCTCCTTCCAAATGACCATGAATTAAAAGCCTTACCAGTTCTACTAAATAGTTATTTAAGAAGTACATGTCGGTCCTAGTGATGTATTGATTGATACTGAATAATGTTCCAATTTTGGTAATAAGAGCTCTTTTCTTAGCTAACTAGCTTAGCAGATTCATCAATAGCAAGCTAGTCTTTTGATATAACTCCAATCATAGACATTAATGTGTTATCTAACGTAAAGGTGATTTAAATTTTTTTTTTGTTCTTTTAAGGGGTTGTGACGTGTAAGAGATTAATGTAATATTATCTCTGAATCGTCTTTCATGTCATTCTGACAGCACCTGTCTGAACTGTGGTCCCATCCAAGATGGCCGCCCTCTAGGCACGTCGGCCATCGTCCTCTCATTAGCAAAGGCAATTAGATGTTCCAAAATTAAAAGCAAGCAGATCAGTTCCTTTAGCTTTAATGTCTAAAACCTAGCTAGTTTTAAATTATTTAAACTAAAGGCAAAAGTAACATTGATGTGTTTTTCTCATCCATTAAGTCAAAAGCTGTTACCAAATAAGTCAGGAGTGTTAAATCTTTCCTGGACTGTATTTTAACAACATTTTTCTACTGTCCATAGCTGTCTGTGACCAGTGAGCGCCGTCTTGCTCACAAGCAGGGTCGGAGGGCGCTGAAGGCCAGTCTCACACTGGGAGTCCTCCTGGGACTCTTCTTCAGTGCTTGGTTGCCCTTTTTCATCACCAACATGGCTCAGGTCAGTACGAACACCTGACGGCCGGTTCAGTATAGCCGCTGAACCCTTTAGAGTGGACGTCTTCAACAGGGGGTCCGCGACCCCCTAGGGGGTCCAAGGAGGTACTGCATTGGGGTCGTGAAAGGTTTTGGTTGATTAGACTTTTTTATCATATTAACCTCTGCATTTTCTCCTGATTTTAAATAGAAGCAAAACAAAAAAAATTCAACAGTTTTGGATACACCAGTGCCTTTAGCTTTCTTTTCCAACAGGTCAAAATATTTTTTTCACTCCTAAGATGCAATGCATGTAGTGCAAAGTAGTACTTTCATTTAAATGTTTTTTTTTTTTTCACTTTCAAATGTTGGGTCCCACCCCCCTCCCTTTTTTTTTAGCAGTGTCCAGTCTGGCGATGTGGCAATGAACATAATTGTCTTGATGCCAAAAAGAGCCCAACAGAGTTTACTTTCACAAGTGGAGGAGTAGGGCTATTGCCATAGTGTTCCGCTTGTTTCATGCATATAAATTGCTTTATTATACTTATGCAGGGAGTTTTACAGATTATATGGACGCAAACGCGCTGCTGCTCGAGATGGAAAAATTGAACTTTTGCTGCTCGACGCGCCGCATCAACCAATCAGAGACGCTGATCTGGGAGCTGCCAGGGAGACAAACACATCTCTGATGATACAGAGCCCTATGATCACTCCTCTGAAACAGTTTATTATTGCCTAAATTAACTTAAAATGTAGAGACCTGCTGACAGAATATATTTGCTTTTATTATCCTGCTGCCTGTAGTTTAGATTATTTAAATGAAAAACACCTACCAGCTGCCACGGTAAACCGCGAGGAGGCGACCTGGCCAGAGGCTGCTGTTGAATGGGATTCCTACTGACAGCGCACCACTGGTATGTGGGGGTCTGAGCGGCTCCAATATTATTGGAAGGCAGGATTTTGATCTGGATGAACTGACTGCAATGATTAAGTTTTCAGGTGGACTTTCTCACTTAAAAAACATATTAAAACTACTTTATTCCCACTGATCACAGCAAATATAGCTGCAAGGCAAAGAAAGGAAAGAGAAGCTCAGCCCAACGCGCGTCAGACACACTTTTGCACCGCGTAGCCAGAGCAGCAAAGCTGCTTCAGCCGCGCGTCAGAACTAACTGGTACAAGCAGCAAAAATTAAGCATTTTCAGTCTGCTTCATCACCTGCAACGAGTAAAAAGAACAGCTCCTGGGATCATGTTAGACTGGAACCCAGGGCAAGGATGCTAAAATCAGTGTATATTACATCTAAAATTAAACGTTTTTATTTATTTTTCATCAAAATAGAATATTCCACTTGAAATGCATTTTCCCATTACTTTAAATATAAAAGGTATTTCATTATATAAGTGATCTTTGTAAAACAGAGTAATTTTCATTACTGTGAAACTCAAGATAGCCAGCTGCAGTGAACTATGGGAAATCTATACAGTTTAATGCAATGGGGCTGATAACCTATATTAACACAGCAAAAAATGTATTTACGTTTTTATCTCCTGCCAGAAGTTTTGAATGATATTTAAAAAAAAATTAATGTTAAATATTCCTCACTGTAAATATTTCTTATCTTAACGTCCTAAAAATCAGTTATATAATTTGCAGAAATATTTTCTTCAAACATATTCAGAATAAAAAAGAAGGATCACAGCTGTGTGAATTGCACATTTTTGGCAGATGTGAGAAGAAAATGATAATTTCTCAGCTGTAAATGGTGATATCTGTGGTATTAAGCCTTCTTGCATTTCCCCACACACTGAAATAAAGCTGTGAAGACGGATTCTCTGCACGCTGTAGTTAGGTTTGTGATTTACACTGTGTTTTCTGGGTGAGTTTACATCTTAGTTTAGCCAATATTTTTCAAATTTTGTTTTTCCCAGGAAGATATCTACTTTTTATACATGTTCCTGCTGCTAACAGAAGTAAAATATAAAACTCTAGAAGTATAGATCTATATCGAACCTTCCTTTATCAGTAATAATATTGAAAAAGTTGTTTTAACAGTTAAATATCTTCTTTAAAAAGATCATCTACTTTAATGGGGTTGCAAAAGTTTTGGTTAATTAGACCTTTTTAAAAAAAAAAAAAAAAAAACGTCCCAGTACACCCAGGGCGAAAATACTTTCGGTACATGACAACATATGTAATAGAGGGACTATAGGACCAGTTTGATATAAAACAATTTCATATAATATATAAAATTAGGGGGTCCCCGCTCCATCTCACCATCAGTTTGGGGATCTTTAGTCTGGAAAACGTTGAAGACCCCTGCTTTAAAACTTAAATCCTCTCCCACACACACGCAACACTCCAGGTCTTCACAACAAATTTTTGGAAGACTTTTTTTCTCAGCTTCTAAATCTTGTCCTTTGGAATGATTCTTGTTTGTTTGATTCAGTACTTTTTTTTTCTTACCAAATTAAATTTGTGTTGCAAGTACGAAAGGAATAGCAAAAAATAAGTGTACAAATAGAAAAGAGAAACAAAAAAACAGTTGGATACTGCTCTATTTCTGTGTTTGCCAGCCTTGGCGTCACAGCCCTGCCAAGCCAACAAGGAAATAGATTGGCATTTCAGCTCTGTGTGTCTGACTCATTTCAAAGCCCAACATACACCCCACTAAAGTGCTGTTAATAATTTTCATACAATTGAAACAGTTCATTTTAATTAGTTCAAATTAAATATATAATTACATCAAACCAGAAAGTGCGTTTAAAAGCTCTTTGAGGCCAAGTAAACGTCAACAAGTAGCTTATTCTAAATCAGTAATGGCACTTGCTCTGTTTTTCAAGCTTTCAATGATCGAGTCATTATGATTGCCCATCTGTGCCCTCTTGCCTTTCCTTCTGTATAACATAGAGCACAGAGACTTGACTGTCTGTGCTCTTCTTGCTTTTCACACTCAATGTGGTGTGTGAAACTTTCCCCCCCGTTCTGTCTCATTCCCACTGCCTCCTTGTCTCATCTTGATAATATTGGAAGCTCTCCTCTAACAGCTGTCTCCTCCTTCACTGTCTAAACCCTAATTGTTCAAAATCAGCGTTTGCAGCAATCAGCTGTCAAATGATATGCAGCTAATGAGCAGAGAGCTTATTTGTGTGAGAAACCGATTTTGAAAAATCTGGTTGACAAACTGTCAGCATCATATCTTCAAATGGTTTGAAGATGATAAACTCTTCAGTGTAGATGAGGGAAGTGCTGTAGGAGAAAATATTCTGCAGCCTCTCACAGCTCAAATTTATAGAAAATAACGCAAAGGATTAAAAGGCTTCAGAAAACATCTGAGATTGTCCAAAGAAAGAAATATTCTAAAAGGAGATTTAATTTAAACCTTATGCACATGATACTGTAGAACGGAGGTCTTCAACAGGGGTCCATGACCTCTAGGGGGTCCACAGAGGTACTACATGGGGTCACGAAAATTTTGGTTGTTTTTGGGGTTTTTTTTGTATTCCCCCCTGCAATTTTTTTCACTAATTGAAATGTCTTTAAATCCACATGAACATGAATTAAACACCATGACGTAAACAGATAAATGGAGGCAGAAGATGTCTTTCAGTCATCAATGCACACATTCAGCGACACACAGGAGCTCTTTCAAGCTGGTCACCATTTCATTCACAACACCTGTTCCATCAACCACGAATCAGAATGAGAAATACTTTAATAATCCCAGGGAGAAATTACTTTTGTTGCATTAATCCATCTGTAACAGAGTTACTATAGGACCAGTTTGATATAACACAATTTTATACAATATACATAATAAGGGGGTCCTCGCTCCATCTCGCCATCAGTTTGGGGCTCCTTAGCCTGAAAAACGTTGAGACCCCTGCTGTAGACAGTAAAAAGGTGAAAGGTTAGTTGAAGATGTAACGATACATCCACCCAAATCGATTAACAATCCAAATACATTGATGCAAAATCAAAGCATGAATTCACATTTTTAGGATATACTAGCGTCTTTTTTACCATAAGGACAGGAAGCAAATGATTGTGTTAAAAGGGCATAAACTGTAATATCCCATTATATCAACTGCAGACTTTAAATTGAATTTAATCAAAATCGTATCAGGAGAGACTTTGTGATATCGGAAAACGTATCTTCATCCAAACAATTAAATACAATACTGTATTGTGATGATTTACGTCCCTGATGTTAATACTAAATGGTTTGATAATTAAACATTATGGTTTTGATTTATTGATCAATGATAGACAATATGCTGTGGGGGAAGTTTTTCAGGATTTTTAATTTTTTTGGTGAAAGATTGGGAGGTTTGAAAGCAAAATCATTGAAGGCTTGTCGAGGACCAATAGTCTCCACATATGGAACTAGGACCCTATCTGTGCTTGACCCCTTATTATTCTACTGCTGTCACAATCCCCTCTTTGATGGGGAGTTCAGCAGGGCTCTATCTTAAGCCCAATCTTTTCCTACAATATTTGTTATCATTTGGACAACTAAGATTGCATTTTTCCTCCATTTCTATGTTGATATATTATCTTGATCTTTATGTCAATAATTCCTAGAAGCTCTGTTTTTTTTTCTTAACCTAAAGACATGACATGGAAACTAATTTACTGATTTTAAATCGTTTTATGTTTGGAAATTCAACAGTTTTGGATAGACTAGGCCTTTGGCTTTCTTATAAGAAATCCAACAGCTCAAAATATATATTTTTTTACTTTAAAGTTTCCATGCATGTAACGCAAAGTGGTACTTTAATTATTTTTTTTTTCTCCACCTAATGGAAATAACATCCAAATGTTATAGCCTTAGCTCCAGGGATCATGTTAGATTGGAGCCCATGGGAAAAAAGCTTAAATCAGTGTATATTAGATGTAAAATTATATCTTTTTTTCTTTTTTTGGACAAAATAGAAAACGCTTGTTAAAATGTGACTGAATGTAAAAAATGACTTTAAATAAAAAAACAAAAAAACAATTTCATTATATAAGTGATTATCTTTGCAAAATGGAGAAATTTACATTACTGTAAAACTCAAGCTAGCCAGCTGCAATGAACTGTGGGTAAATGCAGTTTAGGGCAATAGGGCTAATAACATGTTTACACAATTGAAAATATACTTATGGTACATTTTTTTTTACTGACAAACGTTTTGAATTTTATTTAACAAAATTGAATGTTAGGTATTTCTTACTCTAAATATTTCTAACCCAAAACTAAAAATCTGTTATTTATGCTGCAGAAATGTTTTCTTTAAACATATTAAGAAAAACAAAGAAGGATCACAGCTGGGTGATTTCATCCATGCTTTTATCTTTAGTAGAATTGATCACTGCAACAGTTTCTCCAATTCCTTAAAAGTCCATCAGAGCTGCTGCTGATCCAAAGTGCTGCTGCCTGTGTTCTCACTAGCACGAAGAAAGTAGAGCACATCAGCCCGGTTCTGAAGTCTTTCCACTGGCTCCCTGTAGTTCAGAAAATAGACTTCAAAATCCTCCATTTAGTCTATAAATCACTGAATGGATCAGAACCTGTCAGTGTATCAACCTCCCAGACCACTCAGATCTTTTAACCCCAGCGTACTCTGTAGACCCAGAACTAGAACCAAGCATGGAAAAGCAGCATCTAGTTCCTATGCTCCACTGATCTGAAACAAACTCAAAGAAGACTTTAAAAGTGCTGAGAGTCTGAGTAAAAAACATTTTGTTTAGAGCTACCTTTGACTGTTAAAGTTAAACTGTTAACTGAGTTATTAGTTTTAAGTGGTGCAACTGATTTATTTGCTTTACTTCCTGCTTGTATCATTTTTTTTTATCTTTACTTGCTTTTATGTCCCTTTTATTCTATTGTCTAATCAATGTAAAGAACATTTAATTGTGCTTATTAATAAACTTGCCTTGCCTTATGCTGTATATTTCACTAAATGAAGGTAATTTTCTTTTCAATCTGGACACTCTTTAGTTTTTTCTTTTAATTTTCTTTTCTGTATCAATAATTTTTCTGTATTCATTTTATAAATGTCCACCATATTTTGCAAACAACAAAAAAAACAAATTCATAGTTATTCCTTGATGGCAAAATTTCCTCTGTCTTTATCCAGGCAGTGTGCGAGTGTGTCCCACTGGAGCTTTTTGATGCCATCACCTGGCTGGGTTACTGTAATAGCACCATAAACCCCATCATCTATCCGCTGTTCATGAGGGACTTCAAGCGAGCTCTGGCAAAGCTTCTGCCCTGCTGTTCCTCGCGCTCCCCTAGAAGACCCTCACCAGCTCTCTCCATCTCTCTGCGTAACTCAGGGGAGCCCAACATTGCCAGCGACCCCACCTCGCCTCTGAACTCCGACCCCACCCAGCCACCTGCCACCGCCACGGACGCCGTCAACCTGCTGGATGCCGAACACGCTGGGATTGAGATGCCTCTTCTTCTTCCAAATCAGGTTGACACCCTGGAATGAAGAACTATGGAAGCACAAAACATTTAAAGGTTCAGTGGTGAGTTTTGCTGCTCATGGCCATCCTAGATTCATCTAATTTATTTATAATTACTCTTTAAAAGTTGTAAAACATTTTCATTAAATTTATGGAAACAAAAAAAAAGTCACTATTGTTTATCACACTTTCATGACAAAACCAGCTTTAGTTACCAGTGTCTGTATGTATGTACTGTAGCATGCAGAAGTATTCACACCCCATCAAACGTTCTTATATTACAGCAGACTACTGCAATATATTATACTAGTCAGAAAAAATAATGTTGCAGTAATGGAAGTAATGAACCTTTTTAATGCATGAAAATCAGAGAGGTATGCTTCATGTATTCAGCAGCCTTCACTCTGATATCACCAAAATAACATCTTAGTATAAATAAAGGCGTTTAGAGAGGTAATGATTTAATACATTAAAAGAACAAAAGAAGCTGAGATAAAAAATACATATTCTAACAGATCAGCTGCTTTAATGTAAAAGGTGTTTTTCTTCTAATTACTCCCTTAGAGGAACTGAAAACTAAAGAGCTTCACAATTAATTCAGATGTATATTAAATAGCTTCAATTTTCTTCCACAAATGTGCATTATTTTTTGTAATGCACATTTTTGGAAGAAAATTGAAGCTACAGCATGTAAAACTCTAATAAAACAATGTGTGGTTGTAATTAGGGCTTTATTTTGCAAATCGATTAATTTATGGATTATTTTTTCGATTAATAATTAGGAAAAGGTTCCTTAAAGAACTATTTTTTTATGAAATTAAACCAGGGGAAACTAAAACTTTTCCACTTGAGTCGTTGTGGATAGAGTGTATTGACAGATGAAAAATATATATTTTTTTCAATCTTGAATGCAAAATGTTTAAATATTTTTTACAATCTTGATATAATTACTGCTCTATCACCACTCTATCAGCTAAAGGCATGTTTGGCAGTCTCTATACTCCAGTTAACGATTAGCAGATTACTAAATTAGTTGACGATTATTCAAATAACCGATTAATCCAAATAATTGGTTCAGCCTTAGTTGTAATGTAAGAAAAATAGCAAGAGCTCAAGGGTGTGAATACTTTACAGGACTCTAACTTCACTTGCCAGTTAGGCATATCACATTCCTCTGGGAGGGTAGAACATAAAATAAAACTGTCATCTCCTAAAGCAGGGCTTCCCAAAGTGGGGCTCAGGAGTAATGTGATCCCTCAGGTCTATGGAGGGCAAAAATATATCATGAAAAAAAGTGAATATCCCTTCAAAGAGATAAATATACCATAAAAAGTATTTGTTTATTTATCTAACAATTGATTCTAATAATAAATATACAATTAAATTAAAATTAATATTTACAATCAAAAATCACAGTAAATAACCAACAAATACATTTAAAAAAAATATGAATTAGATAATTTAATGTTTTTGTGAATAAAATAATTTATTTTAAAATTACTATAATTACTTCACTTGATATATATAAATATATATAGAGAGTAATTATTGTATTTATAGTGCGTCTTCAATATGTTCTGTTATTTTTTCAGTCACAGGTTGAAATGTTTGTTCTTATGACGGAGTATTAGGGCCAGGCTAGAGATTTTTTTTCTTCTATTATGACAATTAAGTCGTAACATTACGAGAATAAAGTCGTAACGTTACGAGAATGAAGTTGTAATATTACGAGAATGAAGTAATCATACCACAACCCGTTTCATAAAGAAAGCTTTGAGCTCCACCCAGCTTCACCAAACAGCAACATGATGCAACTTTCACACTCCCCAATTTGATCCTGGTGTGCTAAAAGATTTCCTTATTTGTCAAACCGATGCTAAAGCATAACTTCACATGATGCTCCACATTTCTCATTTTAGGGAAGAAAGCTTCTTGTAGGAGTTGTCATAAAATACAACTTGTTTCTCATAACTTTATGACTTTATTCTCTTAATATTGCGACTTTATTCTCGTAATTTTTTTCTCACCTTATTCTCGTCATTTTTTACCACTTTATTCTCGTAATTTTATGAAGATTCTCGTTGCGACTTTATTCTCGTAATTTTACGAACTTATTCTCGTAATGTTACGACTTTAATCTCGAAATAGAAGAAAAAAATCTCTATCTCTAGCCTGGCCCTAATACTCTGTCGTTTGTTCTATAGAAACCAGGCTACAGCAAAAAAATAAAGCAGAAGTAAAAGGATGATAGTTTACTTAACTACCAATTACTAAATGTTCAGAGCTACTTTTTTAGATTTTGAAAATAAACCATTAACAGTTCTTCAAACAAAACAACTATTCATCCTTCATCAGTCTGAATGATAATTAAATTATCAGTACATCAAGAAGTGAAACAAGGCGGTTCATTTAGAGGCTGTTTTTCTAAAAGCTGCCATATGTAGGAGCTTCAATTCACAGTATTTCTGGCACCTCGCTGTGCCAAGGATGAAAGAAAAAAAAATGTTTTCTACCAAAGAAGCTTCTGTGTTTCAAAAAATAACTGGAGGCCATGAGACCTAGAGAGGAAACAGCCGGTCCTGGAACATAAAAATCTCTTTAAAGGTTTTTATTTGTGCGAGCGCTCTGTAGTCCACTGTGCATCATCCCAGCTCCATGATATGTGTTCCTCATCCTGGTCAGCCTCTGTTAAGCCATTGTTCTGTGTGGTTTCCTGGTTTTTAGGTGATGAATTGTTAGGAACAGAGTTTTGATTGTCTGACTCGGTCTCATTCAGAGAGTCTAGCAGGTCGGTGATGTCAGGAATATCCCAGCCATCCTCCGTTTCCTCCGTCTCTGCCACCTCGCTCCAATCTCTGCCCTCTTCTGAACAACTCCTATCTTCCTCAGATGGATTCTGCATCGCGCTGGCTTGCTGTTCCATGTCGTCCACGACGGTCTGGGCGGCTTTTACAGTCTGAGGAAGAACAAACGAAGCTCCTGGCACCTCTTTGGTGGGAACTCCGACTGCCACCAAGATGGTGTCCATCTGACGCATGTAGTCCAAGTGGCCTTTCACCTGAGACAGGATTTAGATTTGTTTTACTTTACTTGTGATTTTATTTACATCATCGTCATTTCAAAATCATCATTTTTAGGAAATTGTAAATTAAATAATTATATAGTTGGAAGCAAATATTTGCAGATGCTGTGAAAGACATGAACTTTTCACTGTTTAAGATTATAGAAAATCAAACCTTTCCTGTTTGGGTCCAGCCAGCTTTACCAAAATCACCTCATCTTTTATAAATTCCAGAATTTTAAGATAAATCTTGGTGTAAGTAGATATTTGTTATTTCAGCCTTTTAGACTCCTTATGACAGCTTTTGGTCCATTTGGTTCAGTTTTTTTTAGTTCCACTACAGAAATGAAACTAAAATAATGAACATTAATGTAAATGCTTCAAAATATAAAAGCAACACTTAAATTCAGATAAAACCAGCAAATTAAAGTATATATAATTAAACTAATGGTTAATTTTATTTGTAGAAAATAGTTTGGGTCATGAGTTGACTCTCTTGGGTCTTTATGGGTCAGAAACTGAAAGTCTGGGAACCTCTGTAGCACGGGACTGAGATCAGGACTCCAAAAGGCATCGAGCTGATTGTATTTGCTGTCAACAAGCTACTTAGTAACTCCTCCTTTTGGTCCATTAGGGCAAAGGTAACAGATTAGTGGACATGATTAGAGGTCATGGATTAGTGGACCGCAGTGCAGATCCGAACCTACCTGCTGGCTAATCCGGACCAAACCTGATTTAAAACATTTATAAATTACCGCATGTCGTCTAACTTCACTTGCGCCTCTTCTCCTATTAATACGGTAAAGTATCCCAGAGCGTCCGGCTCCAGGCTACACGTGGTACAAATTAGCCAATGAGTTTCTGTGAGTCTTGGTTGCTGCTGCTGCTACTTTTAGACACAGCAGGCAAACCTGTGGCAAGCCGGGCGATGGGAAAGAAGGAGAAGATGATGAGAAAAAGAAAGCAGATAAAGTGTGGACTGATGGAAGAACTGCGGTGAACTGGTGAAAGAAAACTGAAATGGCGTGCTCAAAGATAACCCTGCATGTTTTGAGTAAGTTTGGCTCAACTTGCTGCTGTGAAGCAGGATTCTCCACCATGAACAGAATCAAAAATAATATAAAATATAATGTTATAAAATATGTGAATCAGGAAATTGTCTTTATACCAAACTGAACGATTGTTGTTCTCTACTTCAAAAAACACTTTAGATTTTAAAATGGAAACATTTTCTTTTTTTTATTCAAAAAGTCACTGTATAACATGGATGCATAAAAACCTCATTTTATTTTAGTGTTAAATTCTGTTTAAAGTAACAGATTTTAATTGAAAATGTCTCCGGACCTTTGCTGGTTGATGATTTTCTTTATTCGGACCCCGCTGATTTTTAATTGGTTAGCCCTGGCTTAGGGTCACACTCTGTAATCGTGTCCATATTTCCACACATTGTTCTGTCCTCATTCAGTTTGGATGCATGCATTTGGTTTGCATTCAAACACCTGACGTTCAGCAGAAATGTTCCTGCAAGCGACAGGAATCCAGAGAGAGTGCGAAAGGATCCACTGAAACCTGCAGTTGTCTGTTTCACCTCAGCATGGCAGACCTCGATTTTACGCTGCGAGTCGCTCTGCTTTAATTACTTTTGGAAGCCGAACAAAGCCACCGGCGTCCCTGGGGTCAATAGATCCGCCAAGTTTAGGGAGTCCAGGAGCTATGGCTGGATACCAGCCACTTTCTGCCGAGCTTAACGTAAGATTAGAGGGAGCTCAGACAGGAGCTGAAGGATACAGAGCGAGAACCCGGCAGAGAGAGCACCAGAACTGGGATGAGGCAGCTGCTGCCCAGTGTCTGCTCTGGAGCTAAGGGAGGACATTGAATGATTTAACAGTCCTTCTGGGTCTTTTCTTTTAAAGCCACCTACAAACCTCTTAAGAGGATCACCTGCTACATCTTTAGCAACATTATTTTACATTTTGATTGAAAAAAAGCTCATCTCCGCTGCTCTTGTTCGCCCTTCATTACAACCTCATTTAGATACTGATTGGTTTTGCCGATGCAACATGAAAACACACAAAAGTTCAGATTTTTCAACTCATTTGAATGTTATTTGAGAACTTTTTGGGTGCAGCAGCGTAGCCATAAAGGAGGATGGGGATCTACGACCAGCATGAGGTGTTAGGAAAAAGCCAACATAGTTATGAAAGCTTACTTCCTTTTTTCCTAACTGGCCTAAAACAGGAAAGGTTTTTATTCTCATTTGATCAAAGACGGTAGAAAAAAATAGTTTTTATACATTGTGTGAAACTATCTGGTTTATACCATATATATTAACATACTGTAATTAATAACAATGGTTATATCCATCATTTATATTGTTGACTGAATATGTTATGAATCTTAAGTTATACTGGGTTCAAACCAGCAGAATACCGTTTGTTGAAAATGTGTTTGTGTATCTTCTGTTGTTTTTTTTTTTTGTTCTTAAATAAAGCTGCTGTCTCACTGTTTCTTAACTTGTCTGTTGGTGTATGTGAAATAAATCTTCTGTAGGTTCAAAGGGTGTAACTTTATGATGAAATTTGGTGGGGGCAAATGGTGGGGGCTGATGGACCTACAGTTACTCCACCTGAACGCTTTCATTAGGTTTTTGTATTTTCCAAAAATGAGCTCAAACATATATTTATTGAATGCTTTCCTATTGCTGAGAACACAAGAGAGACAGCGGGAGAGAGGAGGGAAAAAAAAATGGACTGAAAACGCTCTGAACACAGATAGCTGCACCCAACGTCTGTTACCTTCGGCTAAAGTAAATGAGCGGAAAGGGGGGGAAAAGCGGAGATTATTGGTGGAACTGTCACCACCAGTCCTTCAGAAAGTTACACCTGTGATTGGGACATTGTGTGTAAATGCACTGCAGTGATCTTTATTTATATAAAAACAAACAAATATCTGAGCTTGTTAACAAATTATATATGCTACAGTATCAGGTGTTTAGAAGGCAATGCTGGCTCAGTGTCTACTTAGATAAATTTAATTGTCTATAAACTGCTCATTAATTATGTAAATTTGGGGGAAATTTAGTTTTAAGGCTCAGAATAAAAACAGAAATGGTATTAGCATATGCAATCTAAAAAATAGTATAAAAAAATATATAATGAACATATAAGCAAAACAAAAACTGATTAAAAATATAGTGATCTTTGTCACTTTTCTGTTTTTAAAGGAAAGGACAGAAACCGTTGTTAATGTGGGGGCATGTGTCAACACCAGCTTTTGTTATGCTCATTTAGAAGAAGGGAATGGAGAGATTAAACCAGAGACACAAATGTTTGGTTTTTCAAACTTTGTCCCAACAATTTCTATAGATTTAAATGTGCAGTTAGCAAGTTTAAAATAAAAAACAAAACATTTTTATTTCCAAAATGCGGCCTTAAAACTCCCCGACAAAATCAGCGTAAATATTGGGGGAGTTTTCGAGCTCAGATCTTCCCTGGAAATGGTGTTTATTTCCTAGAAAGGTAAGATGCTCCATTTAAAACAACGTCCAATATTTCTAACTTTCTCACCCTTAGACGACATTATGCCTCTAAGCAACAGACCTAGAGCTGCAGACTGCAGAGCTTTATCTCTTCTCTTCTGCACAGCACTGGTGTCATTTCAGCTTGTCGGGTTTCTGCAAAAACCCTGGAACTTGCACTATAATCCTTTACGTTTACTGTTCTGATCGATGAAGTGCAAAAGCAAATCACTTGTTTCAACATGTTTAAAAAAAGCTAATAAAATGTTTTAAACCTCATTATATGTGGAATTGAGCTGGTTTATAGCATGACTAAAAAGGCTGCTACTGTAATTATTAACACAAACCATCAGAAACCTTAAAAATATAATAAAATATCCTGTCTTTTTCACAGGGAAAATAAAGTCAGTTGGTCACGATCAAAACAATGTCTAATATCTTGTTTTCTAGGAGCAGCAGTTGGTTATATTTCTAGAGAGCTCATTTTAGCGATGTAGTCTCTAGAACAGAAAAAAAAACAAGTTTACAGCAGCTAACAGCAGCTTTTAACGTCAAGAGGCAAAAAAGCCCAAACTGAGGCACCACAAAGGCCAAGCAAATGCTAAATTTTTTCCAGAAATTATTTATTTTGAAAAACAACTAATTACAGAAACTAGAACTTGTAATTCTGGACTAAATAAACATCTACACCTTTGATTAAACATTATTTCTGAGACAATGTTTTTTTTCCCCTGTGGAATGTTTTTGTCTAAAATATATTAAGTTAATCTAATCCAGATTAGGGTTTCCCAAAGTGTGGGGGTTATTAAACCAAAGTGAAGTAATTATATGTCTTTTTAGGGGCTTCTCCAGTCAGTTGCATTATTATTTTTCGGACCCCTGGACTAGAATACCACTCGTCAGAAAGCCTTTAAAAACTAGTAAACATTTAGGTAATTGGCAAATCCTTTTGAGTTGAATGTTCAGTTCTTAGAAGCGTTGCAGATTATTATTTGTCCCAGCATTCATGAAACCAACACCTCCTGGCATCAGGTGCTGCTCTAATCATGTCCTTTTAAAAGAAAAATCCGGTCAGCAAGGAATCACCAATGGGTCATTATTTATACCTAAAACTAATAGGTTCGCTGTTATTTAATGAATTTAGCGCTAATCAGTAAAAAAAAATAAAATATGTTTTGCCCAAATATAGTCATTTTTCCCCAAATATAGTAACACCTCACTCCTGAGACCTTCCAGCAGTGACGTCACGGTGCAGTAAGCCTTACGCCATTCTCACCGCTTTACAAGCAAAATCAATGGGAGCTACTAGACACATCTGCAATCAACAACAATTATTGAAGATTTCCAGAGGACTTCACCATTGAAATTCACCAGAGCTATAGTGAAACTGACAATGCCCACGTGCATGGCAGATGGATGTTGGAATACATTAGGTAAAAGTGAAAAAAGAATGAGTTATTTCACCTTTCTGATTCATGATTCACCACAGGTTCGTTGTTGGATTGCCAACTTGAAGATGGAGGATGTGCCATCAAACATCTTGCCAGAGAAAAAACACGTCATTAATCCGTTACTTTCTGCTTCTCATAATGCACTGGTCGTCACCATCATGGATAATAGCGCATCGCGACAATTACCAGATACAGCACTGGGACTTGCTCAACAGTCGATACCGCACCGTGACGTCACAAACCGGTAGGTGGCAGTAGTGTTTTTTGACAAACATGGATGCCTCCAGTAAAGCACATTCAAATGAAAATGACTCTTATGCTAC